CATAAATCAGGTTGTTATGCAAAGGTTGTATGCTCTTCCATTTCAAACTTTTTGTGACTTTTTTTAATCATCTTAGACTTTGTTAAGGTGTGTCTTTACACCCATCAAAATAAAATATTGAGGAATATTCCTTTACTTTTTAGCTTATTTAACGTCTTCTCTTTTTACTTTAGTCTATAAACTTAAAAGAATATCTGGCGTTTCAAAACCAAAAAAAAAACTTGAAATTACATATCATACATACAATTCGTGCTGTGAACGTAGATGCAGTAGTTTTAGCAATAGATAATAATATAAGACGAATAAAAAAATTATAAATTGTTTTCAAAAATTAATTTAAAGTATATTTTAGAGTTTAAAAACCTAACTAATGATTTCTTATAAATTACATTTTGTATTTTTAATTTAATCACAACTTGGAGAGTTTTTTTGCTCTTAATTATTTATTTATGTTTCATATTATGTTCATTTTTACTTTTGTTTTAACATCATTGTCAAAAATTTAATATTGTAAAAACATTTCTTTGATGATGGTTCCTTCTGGTCTTCTGCGAGTTTCCGCGTTTTTTTAAACTATAACACTGTTATTTTATGAAAATTTGTAATAATTAACTTTTATACGTTAAATTTCTCTCTCACATATGTATAATTTGTTTATTTTTGAATATATAAGAGTTTATACACTCATACTACAAGCAACAAACAAGTGTCTATTTAACACTACGAACTACAAACAAAACAAAAGTAGAAACAAAATTTATTAAAAACAATGATGTTTTTTTTTATATAATCCTAAAGAGATAGTAAAACAAATAAATAACGTCCTTTTAACTATTGGCCCAAGCTTAGCAAAAAACTATTCCATTATAACAAACACAATAAATGATTTTATTCTTCACGTAAATTCTATACCTAATAACTTTGAACTTTCCATTAATGAGTTTGAAACTTATAAAATGCTAAAAAACAATTAAGCGATTTAGATCAAATAAATGCATTATAATCAATTTTTACAAGATCATAAAAACTATACTTATTCAGGTCTTTAGTTCTTCAATAAAACAAGGAATATATTCTGATCAACTAAAGATAATTAAAGTTACGCTAATAATTATGAAAGGACGTGAGGGGGGGGGGGGGTAAGGAGTATTAGCAAATATAACTCAACTTCAATTTCTATACCTTCTGAGTTTTCAAAGATTCTTGATAAGATTTTTTAAAATAAAACTTATAATCGATAATAATAATAAACTATAAATAATCATCTTTCTATAAATAAAATACTAAATACAATCCAATATGGATTTAAAAGAAATAGTTCCACAGAATACGTAATGCTTCAATTGACTAGAAATATTGCAGGTTCGTTTGAAAAATCACAATTTACTCTTGCAGTTTTTATTGATCTATCAAGAACCTCTGATACGATAGATCACGGGTTTCTTATTAAAAAAACTTAAAAATTATGGATTCTGTGGTAATTTTTTGAAATTACTCAAGAGCTATTTAAGTAACTGTAAACAGTATGTGTAAATTGATGTATCCTCGTCAACAAATTTACTAGATATAATATGTGGTGTCCTCCAAGGGTCTATTCTAGGAACACTTTTTCTCATTTATGTTAATGATCTCTATAATGCCTCAAATTTAAAAACAGTATTGTTTGCTGATCACACAAACTTTTTTCTGTCTAGTAATATTATCATAACGCTATTTAATTACATGAACATGAAACTAAATAAAATTTCAAAATAGTTTTGTCAAATAAGTTATCAATTAACATAGAAAAAACTAAATAGATTCTATTTCATTTAAAATCCAAAAAATATTGAGTTACTTTATGTAGAGTATGTTTTAGGCATTTTTTTCCCTTGCAAAAGGTCTTCCGCGTTTTTGGTATACTTACCATTTTATTAATGTACAGGGTTAAAGAACCTCGCGAATATCTTAAAGAACCTCGCGAATATCTTTTGCCAAATGATATGCCTCAAATATGAGTAGAATGATGTTTAAATAAAACAATCAAAAGTTATACTTTTTCTTGGTGTTCTTTTTTCTTGGTGTTCTTTTTTTCGTGGTGCTCTTTTTTCGTGGTGTTCTTTTTTCTTGGTGTTCTTTTTTTCTTGGTGTTCTTTTTTCTTAGTGTTCTTTTTTCTTGGTTTTCTTTTTTTCTTGGTGTTCTTTTTTTCTTGGTGTTCTTTTTTTCTTGGTGTTCTTTTTTCTTGGTGTTCTTTTTGATAAAAATCTTACACAGAAAAATCATATTGAAACCTTGCGCAATTAAATTTTTAAAAAATATTAGAATATTATACAGTGAGAAATTTTGTAAATAGACATGCATTAATTAAACTTTACTACTCGCTTATCCGAACGCCATGTAAACTATCCAAACATCGCATGGGGTAGTTCTTAAAAAACAATTAGACCCTCTTTATCGACAATAGTAGAATTTAGCACGTATAGTAAACTGTAAAGATCGTTACTAATGCGAGACCCCCTTCAAAATGAATAATTCAAAAGGTAAACTTAACTCTTTTATCTTTTAAAAACTTATATACAATAAAGCCAAAAAAAGATATGATCTAAGAAATGACAATTTTATTAATCAACATTGTTTTCCTGAATCATGTAACTTGCAATCTTTTAAGTCGTCAATTAATCGTTATCTTGCTTTATAAATTTTATCTTTTCCATTAACTTCCAACTCAAATAGTGGTTGCTTGCAGCCTTGTTGAAAGAAAAGATTTGAAAAAAAAAAAAAAAACGGTTTTCGGTGACAGGATCTTACGATCCTTTTCGAAGACCTTACGATCCTGTTCTAGTTTCCGCGCTTTTATATATTATGCACAACGGAAAATATTGTTAGAAAAAAAAAAATTGCACAAGAAAAAAAATAACTGTATCATAAAAAATAAATACATGAAAGAAGATTTTTTGTAGTTGTGAACAAGTAGAAGTTAGCGATGAATAATATTTTTGGCGTAAAAACTATTTAATGGGCACATTTGGCAGGTTTTTTTTAAAAACTTCATCATCAAATTTATTTGATTCATTTTGGGTTTGATATTTAGATGATTAGCCTGTTGTCATTTTAGTTTTTTATCGTTAGATTTTAAATATTTGATCACTCTCAGTTTCGTGTACAATTTGTTTATGTTCATGCTGAACCAGTGGGCACAGGACGTAAAAAAGACGTCTTTTAAACGTCTTTTGAACGTTTTGGACGTCTTCTGAAAGTTCTTATCTTATGTCTTATTTATGTCTTGTGCCCACTGGGAAGTTTATTAAACGCATTATGATATTTATTACCAATCATCGTCAACCGTTCAATTTGCTGATTAGTAATGATGGTTATCAACTGTTATCATGGATTCAATGAATGGTGGGTTTAATTTTGCAATATCAAAATAATTTTGTATGAAGCAAAATTAAACGGCAAGTTCTTAATAAAATATTTTTAATTTAAAAGTCTAGTAAGCATCATTTTGTCTTCATTTGTTCGCTTGTAGGTCACAACAGGAAATAAAGCTTTACGCCACAGATTTTCATTATTAACATTTAATATTTTTTTATAAAACTAAGGCATTATTGAAGGTACAGTTTGTGTAATGCTTTAACAGTATTTCATAACATCAGCATAGATAGACAGCGAAAAGCCTGAAAATTATTTATAATTATTACTTTTTTGTTTTTTTATTTTTTGGCTAACTAGCTAATATAATAATAAATCGATTTTTTTTGTTTATGTTGATTTAAATGTAATACCAGTTGAACAATGTTAGCAATCAAGATCAATAAATGGGTAAAACGTTAAAGTAGTTTATAACAAAAACTATTTGTGTATAAAAATTTGGCATCTTCGAAGTCTTCTAGGAAATTTTTTGGCATCTTCGAAGTCTTCTGGGAAATTCACTTTTTGAATTAGACAAAAATAGATTTTTGTTTTCTTCAAAATGATATTACACGTCTAAGTCTAAAATAAATATAAAGGAAAACTAAAATCAATCTGATAAAAATAATGGGGAAAAAAATAACCAAAACTGGCTGAAATGAGAAGAAAAAAAGTTATTATGTTGATTTTGCAACTTTTACTTCTTATTTATTAATTAATTATTTTTCTAGAAAATTGTTGCAAGTATATTTTTCTTATATCTTACTTGTGATAATTAATAAAAATAAAATTCAAAACACAATTGTTTATCATTTAATTTTTTTTTTTTTTTTACAAAAGGAAAACTTTTTCTGAAAAAGTTTTTGGTAAAATTATTAGAATAGATAGAAATAATTAAATAATGAAATCGAGATATTTGTAGATTCCAGTGTTCAAAACTTTGAATGAAATTTGCAAACCAGATTTGAATAGCTTACAAGCACAGCGAAAAGCTGAGTTTTATTTGTTTTTTTAAAAAATTTAAAGATTTTATTTCTCAACGTTTGTATAACCAATATATAATAATGATGATGGTGATGTCAAACAAAACAACAACAACAACAATAGCAGCAGCAGCAACAACAACAACAACAACAACAACAACAACAACAACAACAACAACAACAACAACAACAACAACAACAACAACAACAACAACAACAACAACAACAACAATAATAATAATAATAAAAACAGTTAAAACATTAATAATGATAATAATAATTGTTAAATGTTTAAAAAAAAATAAAAATGCTATTGAAAATCGTTATAATGATATACAAGTTAGCATTGGTAATAATTTATTAAGACAACGTTTATAATATTAATTTTGTAATAAAAAAAAATTATTTTTGTCATAAAAAACAACCTCTAAAACTTTTTTTTTTTTTTTTTGCAAACGTCGCAAAAAAAATAAAGTTGTTAAGTAATTCTAAATCTGTCAGCAACGATGCTAACCTAAATAAAACAGTGGAGAAACAAACAAAGACAAGAGATTCATAAACAATTGTTTAAATTTTGGCATCAAACAGCGAATTTTAAAAGAGTAGAACATTTATAAAACTTAGATATAAGGAGTTTGGAGTCACGTATGTGATTTTAATCACGTCTTTATAAGTCATTTATATGATTCGTTTTAATAAATTATTTTTTTTATTCGTATAAAAGATTAAAACAAAAAACAGATTGTCTTGAGGTATTCAATAAAGTGTTATTATATATATAAAAAAAAGTTTTATCATTAAATACTATCGTCATAATAAATATTTGGGGATGGTCATGGAAAATCTATACAAATAAGTGGAACAGTTTTTAACAGAATAAAAGTTCCTAACATAACATAGTCATAAATATTGGCATTCACCTAAAGCACAGAATGGACAGAAATATTTGAGTTGATGGCTATAAATTAAATGAATAAATAACCAAATATTGTTTTCACTTTTCTCTAAATTAATTATTAAAGACTCGCGTTTATATGCAAATACAAAAATGATAAAATTTGTAAGTGTTCAATTTTTTATTTAATGACTCGTGTTTCTTCAAAACAAACCAACTAAATTAACAATAATGACATTTTATAAGGAGGACGTTGAGCAATTTGCGGTAGTGTGTTTTTAAAAATGTAACAAAGCGCGTCAAGCTGGGTGCTTCCAAAATTAGCGACGTAATTATGCGCAGCCTGAGTTAGCTAGATTTTACGTATCAACAAAATTAAAATGTTTTGTAGAAATTATTACAAGTAGTTAATTTTTTACATGTTACACAATTCATTTTAAATTATATTGCCTATTTAACTTCAATGCTATTAACATTTTTTTTTTGCTGATAAATATAATGCTTGAGTAAAGTATTTAAGTTTTAGTTTATTAAATTTAAGTTATAAGATTTTTTTATACACAACACAGGATTTTGCCTATCATTCTGGATGGCGGAGAAAAGTATTTCTCGTAAAATACTTATAGCACTCGATGAAAGCGAAAATAGCGAGTTTGCTTTCAAATGTAAGTTTTTAAACTGATTCATATTTTTAAAGTTTTAATTAAAAAATTAGATTTTTAAAATTGTATTGTTTAACAACATTTACTAACATAATTTTATATTTATTTTCAATAATTAATTTGGTTACAGATTATGTATCGATATTTACATAATTTAGTTTTTTTTTAACTATATCAACACTAAATTGTATAATTTATAGTTTTAAATCACTAGTCTAAAAGACTCTGATTTTGATGTTGCCATAATTACTCTCAGAATGATTTTGGACATCATTTCTTGGCTTGAAATAATAAGACTATTAAAAAAATAATTGCAAAAGCATTTAATTATTACTTTTCTTCGATTGCAGGTAATCTTGCTAAAGGAATTATACCTCCTAAGTTTTATTTCAGCCACTATATAAAAAACCCAATATCCTGATTCATTTTTTATATCCACAGTTAATTCTCAAGAAATAAATGGCTATATCTCTCTCATGAATCCAAATAAAGCACTGGACCCAATTCTTTGAAAATTCTTCGAAAATTGAAACAATCTTAGCATATCAAAAATCTTTTCAATATTCCCTGACTTATTTAAAGTTACTGAAGTGGTTTCTATTTTTAAAAGCAGCTGTAAACAAAATCTTTGTATCTATTGCTACTGTCAAATATTGTTACTGTCAAATATAGGCAAATTAATTAAAAAGCTTATGTATAACAGGTTACTCAGTTTTTTAAATCTATCAAATAGCTTATATAGTCTGGAATTTGGATTCTGAAGGAAATATTCTATTAATCAAGCATTTGTAGCTATAACTGAAACCATATGCAAGGCTTTGGACCAAAAATAGTTTGCTGGTGGAGTGTTTGTTGATTTGTAAAAAGCATTTGATATTGTCAACCATATAATTCTATGTCCACAACTATATCATTATGGTGTAAGGGGAATCGCTCTAAACTGGTTTAATTACATATCTAAACCCTCATCCACAAAGTGTTGCTATTGGTAATATCTCTTCCACTTCTAAGTTCATGTCTAGAGGTATTCCTCAGGGTTCAACTCGGGGTCCCCTTTTTTTCTTATCTAAATAAATGATTTATATAGATAAGAACTACTCAAAAATCTTTATGCTGATGACCCCAACCTCCTAAAAGAAGACAAATCTTAAAAAAACTATATAAGTTCCTACATTATGACCTGACATCCATGGTTCAATTGTAACAATCAAATGTAACCATTGAACCATGTTCAATGGTTCATTGAACCATGTTTATTGAACCATGTTTATTGAACCATGTTTATTGAACCATGTTCATTGAACCATTGAACCATTTTGATTGATCCATGTTTAATTGTAGTCTTTCTATGTCTTTAAAACAAACAAATGTTGATATAAATACATATTGACGTGTTGATAAAAAAAAAACCTTTATTATTTAACTTTTAAATTAGCGATAAGATAAAAGAAGTAATTATTTTAAAAAAAATCACATTAACTTTTGATAGAAAAAATATACTTTTATTATTTAATTTTTAAATTAGCGGTAAGATAAAAGAAGTAATTAATTTTTAAAGAAACCACATTAACTTTTGATAAAAAAAATATACTTATATTATTTAACTTTTAAATTAGTAATAAGATAAAAGAAGTAATTAATTTTTAAAAAAACCACATTAACTTTTGATAAAAAAAATATACTTATATTATTTAACTTTTAAATTAGCCACATTAACTTTGGAATTGCCACATTAACTTTGAAAAGCCACATTAACTTTGGAATGATGATATGTAAAAATGTTTGTTACAAAAGTTTGAAAGAAGTTACACTAAAAGTAATTGTTGTAACTTTTTATTGGGATAATATTTCTTATCTTTTCATAATCTTTTTATCTAAATAATTAGCAACATGAAAAAAGTTAGTCAATCCTTTACTACATATTGTTTGCAGATGTTTTTAATTGAAATTCAGTAAAAAACTTCTTTAAATCCTGGGACTTTGCCGATGCTTTTCGAATTGAAACTATCACAGAAAAAAAGAAAACTTATGTTATTGATTGATTGATTGATTGACATTTATTAGAACTAAGTATAAATACATGTTCTAAAGGACACGAAGGCCCATACAAAGATGGACACTAACAACATGCACAAAGAAATTTAAAAATATCGCTACAAAAAAAAAATAACAAAACTATAAAGAAACAAATAGTTGTTCCTTTTACAATAAATATTAGTTAAAGTTGAAAAATTTAATTTTATTTTTGAACGTTAAAATGTTTTTTGCATCTACAGCCTCTGAGGTCATATTGTTCCACATGTCAACAACTCGATAAGAAAAGCTATATTTTCTTAAATCCAAGCGACAAGATTGCTTATTTTATAATTATGACCCCGGGTGTGGCTGTTATTGTCAACGCAAAGAACATAGATTGATCAGTACAGACAATTTTACGAAAATTTTTAAAGCAAGTTACTAAATCGTTTTTAAGGCGCCGAACTTTGAGTAATTCGATACCAAGCAACTGTAATCTATTATGATAGGAAAGATTTCCAAGGCTCCTTTTTTTTTTATAAATTTTCGTTGGACACTTTTAACTGATTTAATCAATCCAATTTGGTGTGGTGACCATACTGGAGAACAACATTCTAAAAATGGTGTTATATAGGTAGTGAAAGCTCTAACTAGGATACAACAGACTTGGTCGGGAAGTGGGAGCGATCGCTCTCGATTGCTGACCACGTAGATAATATTTAGTTGCGAAAAGCTGGCCAGATTTTTTAGTCGTTTTGAGAACATTTTAAAAAGCAAAAAAAAAAAAACGACTAAGATTAATTGGACCAATGAGAGACAATTACAAAAAAAAAAAAAAAAAATAGGCAAATAAAATATCTTTTAACGCGAAAAAACTTAAAGCTAAATAAATTACATTTAGAACAAATATTTTCGAAACATCGCTCTTTTATAATTTTTTTATAAAATTAACAACTTACGATTGTTTAAAAGAGAAACAAATATCTTTTATTTAACTAAGTTTGCAAGTTTTAGTTTTACTTGAGCTAAATTGTTTAATAAATAAAAAAGTTAATTTTTTTAATGCCTATTTTATGTTTCGCGTAGTTTGAAAAGTTCAACATATTTGAAGCGATTCTTCTTAGTTAGATAAACAAATGAAATAATTAAATCATTGAATTACTATAGGAATTAAATTATCAAGATAGAAATCAACTAAAAAGGTTAAAAGTACTTAATGACCAGGAAGCAAAACTGCTTCACGATATCGCTGATAATATTTAGTGAGTGGGCTTTTTAATTTTAATTAGTATTTAAAGCAGAAAAAAGTAAAACGAGTTTTAAGAATGGCAACTTAAGCGAAAATAATTAGAGTTAGTAAACCAATATCTAGTAACTTTTTTTTTAATCTAATTATTTGCTATATATATTTGTGTTCTGTCGTGACCTCAGGCGCGATGCTTGTTCATCCGCGAGTTACTTTGTATGCGTTGTTAGTGTTTAGTAACTAGAAACTTCTTATATGTTTGTTACATAATTAGTTTTATTAACTTTAACAATTATAACTTCATTGAAAACGCAATTATTTTTGTAAGTCTTTATTTAAATCATAAAAATTGCTTTAAAAGATACATTACGATAAAAAACAGATACACAAAATTACATTTACATAAAGATTACATACTTTTTAAATATAAGAATATACTAATAAAATCTATAATTTATAATAAACTTTTAAAATTTTAACAATTTAATTAATATAAATTTAAAACATTTATTTTTGTAAACAAATAATATATATTCTTAAAACAATTCTAGAAATCTCAAAATGTTACAAATCGTGAATAATACAAATTCTAAAACATTTCAACAGAATACTCTAGAACTTTGTTTCGCTTAATCAGCGTATTTTTTGAACCAATAGAATTAGTTTGTTCGTTAATTTGGCGGGTTTTTAGTGCTCGCAAATATTTTTTTTATTCTTGCGCACAATGATGTTTTGGGAACATTCAAGTTTTTTATGTTTCCATGTATGTCCGTAAAACAAAATTTTTTTGTTTCATAAATAAACTTAAATATTCTCAAAATGACTAAAAAACCTGGCCAGTTTTATGCAACTAAATATAATTTCCGTGGTCAGTATTCGAGAGCGTTCGCTCCCGCTTTCCGACCAAGCCTGATACAAGGGTCGCATGTTTTAAAACATTTCAAAATTAAGTATGCTCTAGAGTTAGCTTGATGGATGACGTTAAAAATATGTTTTTTTATAATTAAGGTTACAGTCCATTGTTACTCCTAGATCTTTTGGGTTTGAAGACCAAGCCAAAGAATATTCACCTAATTTATAGTTAACCTTTATACCTTTGCATAATGAGGGAGGTGTTATTCTAAAAGTCTATTGTCTAAGTCTAAAAAAAAGAAGTCTATTGTAAAAATTAAAAGTCTATTGTAAAAGTCTAAAAAATAATCCATATCACAGTACAAGCTATATAACTTTATATCATCTGCGTAAAGTTTTACACAACAGTCCAGATTATTAGTTATAGCGGTTAAATCATTAATAAAAACATATAATAAAAATCATAATAAAAACAATGTGGGACCTAACACACTACCCTGTGGAACTCCACTAAAAATCATAAATAATTTGTGCGATTTTCTTAAAAATAAAATTTCATCCAAAACCAATGGTGCCCTACAGGCAGCTACCCTACAGTTTATAAATGGTACAAATCATGTTAAAATATTTTAACATAATAGTATATATTATTTAAGTTGGTATATAAATAAAATAAAATATCATTCAATAAATATATTAAACTTTTTCTTAACAAAGATTAGCCTATATTTATTCTCCTTTTTTTGTTTTATTACTCTAATTTAAATTGCTTGCAAACAAACAAAAAAAAAAGAGTTTTGTAATTATACGTTGAATGAAAATGTGTTTTCGTTTGTTTATAATTTAAGGAACTTATTTTTTAATAAACCATTTTTTATGAATGTAAAAT